AGTGCAACCTGTACGTGTTCATGCCTTTTTTTTTTTTTTTTTTTTTCTCCTTAACTTGTGAATTGTGATGCTTGCTGTCCCGTTCGTTCCCCAACCCACTACATTTTTCTCTTTTCCATGAAGATGAAAAAAAAACAAACTTTTTTGTGGATAAAATAATAAATCATTTATTTAAAAAAAAAAACATTTCCGATAAGACATTGTTGAACAATTTATCGACTTTCTTTTTAGTGTTTAAGCATTTTTTTATTATTGAAAAATCGTTATTGCAGCGTTAATTTTTTTTGTATTTCTTTTTAATAAGTTGTTTAGTTTACAATTTGAAACTAATAAATTATTTAATAAGTTAGGAATCAGATTATGAATAATGATTCATTTCGAATCTTAAAATTTTCAGTACTTAGGATTTTTTCTATACTTTTTCTCTCGCAAGTTGAAAATATTCCATGATTAATCGAATTTTCGAAATTTAAGATGAGTTTTTTTTTTTAATCGTTTCACCCCAGAGGAGAAAAAAAAACAAACAAACTAGAAAAGTGGATATTGAACTATTCAACAAAGTGAAGTTGTTTAGTTTTCTTTTTGCAAATCGTAAATGAGGAAAAAAAAGTGTTCGAAATCCGTTTCATTCGTGTTCTTGTTAATCGAATTTCAGTTTTCAACTTTCGTTTCTCTTCACAGTCTTCTTATTTATTTACTTGTCCTGCCCAAGGGTTCGTCAAATTTTTACATTTTTATGAATCAACATATATTTTTTTAATTATCTAATTGGTATTAGTTGCTTTTCTTGTTATTGAGTGTCCTCGTCTAAAATTACAATCACGTTTTTGCTTAAGAAACTTGTTGCAAGTCTCCCACTCTACCCATTGTGTGTGTGTGTTAACTTTTAAAATGAAATTCCCAATGACATTGTATGTAACTGACCGTCTAGTTAATTAGGTCACAACTGTTTTTATCTGCTGAACGGAGGGAGGGGGGCAATAATTAATTTGAAGAAAGTGCTTGGTTTAAAACTAAAAGTTTATTGTTTTAAAATTAGTAGGGGAATTAAGAAAAGAAATTTGTTCTTTTATTTTTAGGGAATCAAATTGTTTATCTCTTTCTAACCCCAAATTCCTAAAATACTCATTTTTTGTCCATAGTCAAGTGAAATAAATTCAAAAGATTTCTGACATGAAATACCTTGATAGTAGGATGTATGTATTTAAAAAAAAAAATTATTTTTTAAAGTAAAAATTGAATTGAGAATTCTGCTTCAAAAATTTTAAGAAATGTGTGTGTGTGGGTTTTTTTTTTTTTTTTTTTTACACATTTTTTATTTCAAAATTAATAATCTATAAATTTGACATTTGAACAAAATCTACACTGATCAAATATTTTTTGGTTTTATATAAGGGACATTAAAAAAGAACAATGGCTATCAGATTCTAACCGCAAAAATTTAATTAAATAAAACCCCAAATATTTTACAATGTTGTCAAAGTTTACTGAATATAAAAGGTTTTATTCACATACTGGATGGGTACCTCTGAAAAGGAGTGTGAAGCTGTTCTACACATATAAACGCACAATTTTCTAAGTTAATGGATTTATTCTGAAATATTCAGGCTGGTAGATGAAAATAAATAAATATACTGTTTAAAATGGAGTGTCTACTCAATTATGAGTATCACATAAAAATTAAGTTGAAAGTCTGTGTGTGTGTGTGTGTGTATATATATATATATATATATATATATATATATATATATATATATATATATATATATATATATATATATAATAAAAAAAAAAAACACACTTTAGAAATGGAAAAACTTGTCTTTCATGTTTTTCTTAAATTGCAATAACACTGCTTACTGTAGCACAATATTTTCTCGACAGATGGCATTACATTGGGCACCCTTAGACAAGAAATTGAAAATACGTGTGCAGCTATCCCATGGGACATTTTGGCTAACATTGCCCATGCAATAGTCTGTCATACTAATAAATGTCTGAAAGCTAAAGGCCACCATTTTAAGCATCTTTTGTGATTGTAGAGTCCAAAGGTAATTTGTATCAATCTCGTGATGTCTGAATAAATTTTGTATTACAATATGTATACAATTTTTTCCTTTCCTGAAGTCTGTGTGTGTGTATATATGTATGTGTGTGTGTGTGTATATATATATATATATATATATATATAGGGAGAGAGATCAACCTTTCTTTTAAACATCTTTTATTAAATATGGTAAACAAAGAAAATTTAATTAATTTTTTATTATTTAGTTTTTCCAGTGTTCTTACATTTTTACCATTTGCTGGGAGTAAGGGAGTACAAAAATTTTCCATAATTTTCATTGTTGCAAGTGCTTTCAGCCACTTCTTTAGCCATTTTTTTTATCTCTGTTATTTGTTAAATGTTAAAGGAGACTGGGCTCTTTAGCCATAGTCGGCAACCAGTCTAGGGGAAAATCAACTCTGAATTAAAAACTGTTTGGGCAATTGGCATGGGGCTAGCAACTCCCTCCTGTGAAAACTTGCTATGGCAACCACAGCAGCAAGACGTAGAATGTTGAGGCTGTAGCCCCCATATGCCACAGGAGTGTGTATGGGACTTAATGATTTTATATATTATATATGTATATATAATTGTGTGTGTTAAGAAATCTCACTTTTATGTATATGTGGAGAAAGAAAGTCCAAAATATAAGTGAATTTAGCAATGATTACTTTGAAGTGGAGCATATTTTAATGCCATTGCTGTAATTTATTGTCCAGTTGGATTTTTGCTGTTAAAAGTTGTTTTGGTTGGATCAGAAATGAGATCAAGAACAATTGTGACTGGTTGAAAAGCATTGAATTTTAAAATTATGATTTGATATATTTCAATTAGAAGTGATGAGTTCAACTGGCTGTGTATTGACTGACTTTTGGTCATTTTGCAGGCTTTGGTTAGGATTCACTGCACATATTACTCTCCTGTTCTCAAATACTTCAAGATAATTTATGATCTGCAAACTTTATTTAAATTTTCAGAATCTGTCAATTTCTTTCATTGTGTTTTAAAAGCCAATATCTGCATGGACTGATTTTTTATAATCTGTTAAAAATTAGAGGAATTAGGAAGCTGGAGTGGACATTTTCTTTTATTAAGACAAAAATGATGAATTCATTTCCAAAATAGCTGAAATTTTAAGGTTTCTTTTTCTTTATTTAAAATGTGTTAATCATTCAGAAATATTATTTACATGCAAACCCACTTACACAGGGGCTTATGGCTGCATCACATTGAAATACTGGTTCCCATACCATCACTGAATTTAAACAACATTTGAGCTTGGTCTGATGGATGACTGCTTGGGAATACCAGGTGCTGTAAGCTTGAATGTGGTCTACTAGATAATGGCTCGAAATTGTTAATCGGAAAGCAGAATTCCAATTCCAGTTCCTCTTATGCACAAATTACCCTTGGAAAAGGTATGAATGCACCTCTCCTCCTGTGGGTTAATTATTAAGGCTTGTATCATTAAATCATTAATTACAAAAAAAAAAAAAAAAAGGTGCAATCTAAAAATATTTTCTGGCTATAAAACACCTGCAGTGGGTTGATAAGCTGTAAAAAAATTCAACACTCACATTAATTAATTAATGATAAAACTTGTTTTTTCTTAAGAATGAAATCCTAGTGTTTTCCTTTATTGTTGCTTTCTTTTTAATCTATAAAGAATAAAAATCTATGATGATTTCACCCTCCTCCCCCCTTCTTCAATTTGTTTTACTGTAGAGGCAATATGGCTGGAGCTTGTCATTATTATTATCAAGTGTTGTAATGTACCCAGGGAAACCGGAGTCTCTCAGCAAGTCTCTTTATTTGGGGAAGGGGCAGGTGTCATCTTTTTGAATGCTAGGCTCATTCTTGGCATTGTGCATTTGTATGTCATCTTGATTGATATTTGAGATAAAATCGTTAGATTATCAGTAAGTTGGATTCTTTCTCTATCAAATAAAAGGAAAGGAATTGTTCTTTACAGATTTTATCTTTTGCATAAAAGCTTAGTCTCCCATGAGGAAAGTAGATGAGAATTCAGTTATGATTCTTGATAACAATGGTTTAGAAGACTGTTGAGCACTTCCAGTATAAAAAAATGTGCCCAGTATATTTACACCCCATCCCTTCCTCATCTTCTGAAGGTTTGCTTTTTGAATTGTTACAATGATGTGTCACTCTAACAACTGTTGCCATAGAATGAAAATGGCCAGCTGTAGTTTTCCAACTCCTAAAAGGACAATTCTCAAAGCAACATACTGCAGACTTTGCAGTTGGCATTTTCTCAAGTTTTGTTTGACTCTCCCTTTGACCAACAAATATTTAATAAAAAAAAATTGTCTGGTATTGTTCTGTCAGACTTAAATGATTAAATCTAAAAGAAGCTATTAATAAATAATTTCCACAATACATGATAATTTCTCGTTTTGATTTTCACTTTCTCTCCACCCAAGTGAATGGTTTGAGGTCATTGCTTGATTAATTCTATATTGTATCAAGCAAATCTGTAATTGTGACCAGAGGCTGATTCAGAGTGGTTGTTGGGAGATGGCTGCAAGTTACTTCAAATCAAGATGCAACTGGAGCAAGATCAAGAATTCTCAGTCTTAAGTGGTTTTGGAGTGTTATTCCAGACATCTCACTTCTAATTTTTTTTTTTTTTTTTTTTTTAAATAATTAATTCCACTTATGACCTAAATCATGAGTGATGTAGTTGTGGAATGAATGAATGTATATTTGACTGAATATTTCTGGATTTTTTTTTTTCTTTCTTTGATTTTGTGAAAACTTTTTCACCTGAAAATCTATTGAGTATTTTTTTATATTCCTCGTTGACTGAAAAACATTTTTTCTTTACTTTTCCAGTTGGCATTTAACATTTGTATAAATCCCAATCAAGTCAAAAGTGTAAAGTGTTCATTATCTTGAAAATCAAATGTTTTTTTTTTTTCTCTTTATATTTCAGATCAGGATTTTCTTCCTAATAATTGGATCTATAATCGCAATGTAACATGTGGTAAACAGACAAAAGGAATTTTCCCTTCCAGGACGTGGACTTGTGCCAACATAAGGTGAGACCAACAAGATTTTTTTTATTTGTTTACTAAATTTTCCTTTTTGTATTGAATTAATGGATTCCTTTACAGCCAAAAGAAAAGGTCTTTAGGAACAGGAAAAATTGTGATGCCAATAAAAGACAGATGAAAAAAGCTGGTTTCTTTTCATTGCTTATATCCCTGTCCCTCGTAAATGAAAGAGAAGGCATCAAATACCCTTTACACCTTTACCTTAGTGATAAATACAAAGGAATGCTGAAAAGTTCTAGGAATGTGACAAAACATCAGTTTTCTCTTTCCACCCACTCTCTATTGCTGTCTACTTTTATTACAATTTTAATTTTTTTGCTTATTGTTTAATGAAATATCAAAATTTTTTTTTTTTTTTTTTTCTTCTTTAGAGTGAATGGCCGAAAAATTGCTTATGGTTATTATCCATTCAAATCTGAGTATCCTTATCCTGCGGGCAAATGTTTTGAAACTCGTGGTCGGGATGACATGGGTGGTATCTGCCTTGGTCTCATGGAGCATGTTAATGAAACTGCAAAACTGTGGGTTGCATCGGTGAGTCTCTTTTTTCGACTGCCACCAACAAAAATGACATTCTTGTTCCATTCCCTTGAATATTTGATGGAGATCATCTTTTAACTTGTTTGTATATTTTTAGTTTTTCTTATTCAATAATTTCTGCTTTTCTGTTTTGTAGGTTACAAATGCAACCTGTGGCCACACGAATGACAAAAGAGTGTTATTAACAATCGATACTTCAAAACCAGAAAGTCCACAATATGTCTGGGTTGATCTAGGCCATGGTTTTGGCTGGGTTGAGACCTTACATTGTTTGACTTTACCTGATGTGTTTTAAAATCCAGAGCCAATCCCCCACCCCTCCCAAGAAAATAACCTATTGGTTCTTATTCGCTCATGGCTCATTCTCCACAACATTTGCCACTGTCGTCGGCCAATTATCCATCCATGGTGCAAAGCTTTCTTTGTATCCACCTAAAGACTCAGAGAAGCATTTGTTTATTATTCATAAATACTACAACAAAAAAGCAGACTGGCACCTTCTGTCCTTATTTAGTGTCCGTACCAATTTATGATGGCCATTGAAGGTGTGGAACCCAAAATATTTTTGAAGATTTTTTCTTTTGTTTTTAAAAAAGAAGTCTAAACATTTTTATAATTTTATTTTTTATTTTTTTTTTTTTTCAATGTCTACTTTTTGGTGCTGGTTGACTGATATTTTTTCCTTTACTTCTCCCAGACTCCTCCTCCTCCTCCTGGGGCTCAAAGGACAAACACTGTTCTGTCCTTTGCCAACTGCTTCTCCCTGACTTTTCCTTCCACTGCCAAATAATATTTTACTTTTCTCTTTGAGAAGTTTTCTTCTTTCTTCCTTCTTATCAGGCCATTTCCCTTCCTCAAATATTGACTGAGTAAAAAAAAAAAAAAAATTACTGCTGCAGTCGCACAGATGTTTGTCTTCCACAAACTACTATGAAAAAAATGAAACAAAAAAAAAAATTGCAAATTTGCTTAATTAAGCTCATTAATTTTTGTCTATTCTTATTCTTCGTTACTTAATTTCTGAGTAATCAAAGAATTTTATTTTTATTTTATTGCATTGCAATTATTTGATTGGCAAAGAAAAACAAACAAAAAAAAAACATCTTAATTCAGGATCTTGTTTGATTGTGTGTGTGTGTGGCTGAAGAGTAACAACATTGAAGAACTTGTAACTGCTTTGCTCTTTCCTCTCCACCTGTGAACTTTATTTACTTTATTTCTGTCTCTACAGAAAACATTTTCACAGCAATTTTGTCTCTTTATTTTTTTCTTTAATAGAATGTTAAAATTGATTTTTAAAAAGTCAAAACAAGTCATTATTCTACTCTACTAAACTCGTATTCTGTTTCTTTGCAGTAAGTATAGCAAATATAATTAGGCAAGATTAATTGATAAATTAATGGAAAGAAAAAAAATTTTAAAAGTACTTGTAATAAATTTGTTTCTCTTGGCAAACCACTTATGAAATTTAACAAATAATGATTCAGTTTCAGTGGCTGTTCTACAATTTTAGCTATTATCATTTCACTTGTGGAACAGCTGATAGCTTTAAAAAAAAGTGCCAATTTTGTGTTGTAAAAGTCCTAGTTTGAAACAATAAGCTCTGGTCTCAGTCATTGTGGTTACTGCTTCTGTGTTCTTCCTTAATTTATGCTACTTTGTGGGGGGGGGAATCACACACACACACACACACAACAAAAATCTATTGAAATAATGTGCAGGACTTTAAAAAAAAAATTTTTTTAATTTGAATATTTGGGAATTTGTGTTGGGGCTTTGGGATGTTTTAATTCCAAAGCTTCTGTCTTTTTTAACCAATTTCTGATGAAGCTTGGATTGCTTTCCTTGTTTTTAATAAAGGTTTTATGATGGCCTTGTTGAGTTGAATCCTTTCTTTTTCAATATAAAAACAAAAATATGAGCAATGGATATGTCAACAAGTAACAGAAATCAACAATTAGCAGAAGAAAAATAAAGTCAGTTCCATTTATTTAAAAAAAAAGGTCTCAATCAGTTTTTTGTTTTGTAATCTGTTTTGCAAGCTAAATGTTTGAAGAAAGATATATATATATATATATATATATATATATATAATTTTTTTTTTTTTTCCTTATAGAAAAATGTTTATTGAACAGATTTGTTCCATTGACATTACATATGTGCCAAGAAGTGTGATGTTGAAAACTAAACTCAATCCTGAAAAAGACGAGCTCCAGACTCTTCAAATATTGAAAAGAACAAGTTATAAAAAGTAAAGGTGTGCAATTTAGAAAGTTAGGTCTCATAGGAAATGTTATTTTTGACCTAAAATTAAATTAAGTTTTCAAAAATAATTAAAAATCAATACTAAATTGACATTTTTAGAAGGAAAGCTGTTTTAATACACATTAAGTTTGCACTTAGTCTATGCTATTTAACAAGTTCAGCTATATAAAATAGCCGAGGAGGACAAATTACAGGCTTTTTACCATTTCAAGATTCAACTAAATGCTTTTAACGCTAAGATGTTATTTTAGGTTAAGAGAGAAATTTGCAGTTGTGAATTGGAAGATATTCATCCCCCACTTTTAAATAGATCTTGATTTCAACTGTTACAGCCACATTTAGTAGCAATCACTTTGTTATATATATATATATACACACACACATGCTTAAAACTGCCCTATTAGGTGGCAATTAAGCTAGCTCCTATGGAGAGCTCTTGATAGGGACTCTCAAACTCCTGAACAAGCTGAAGACCCAAAGTCTTTACATATTCTCACCATTGGAAGCTCTAATTGCTGCCATTTAATCTTGATTTTCATTTGTACAGGACTTTCTTTTCCTCACTGCAGCCTTGGCATTTTTGATTGCAATCTGGTCCACAGTTGGCAGAGATTTCTTTTGTCAATCATAATGCTGCCATATGCGAAAGGTAGAACTCAAAATTGATTACTGCAATTTGATGTTTGTAAGTCCTTACTTTCTGTACAAACAGTTATTTTTATTTCACGGGTGACTTTCATTGGATTTTGCAATTAATTTTTCCCAAGTTTATAAAAAAAAAAAAAAATCACCCAAAAACAATTCCAGTATTCATTACTAGAATTGTTTTTGGGTGATTTTTTTTGGGGGGTCCAGAGGTCAAAATTTCAGGATTGTGGGTCCAGATCTGGCCCAAAATGTTTTTAATAATTTGCTCACAGTTGGCCTGATTCCAAAATACGGCCTTTAGGAGTAAAGTTGAAAAAGTGTGACATGGTGACATTCACATTTATTTATATAGTAAGACCAGTGATTAATTTTGTTGGGAAGGGAAGCTGAAAAAAAAAAAAAAAATGTCTGATACTTAATTCATCCCACCGCAAATAAAATAATTTATGTAACTATTCATGATAACAAACAACAGATTTAGTTCAAATCCTCCATTATAGAGTAAGTGCAGTTATTTACTTGCAAAATCATATACAGAAAACATGAGAAATAATTTAATGTCTACTGAGATCATTAAGTGCTGACTTAGCCTGGTTCTTCTGACATAATTCCAGACAAAACATTAGAGTGTAACAAAGCAAGCAAAGAAATAGTTTTCATGAGTGCCATTGTGAAGAGAAAGAATGACTGAGAGCAGAGTTTGTTTCTTGAAGTGTTCAGCATCAAAAGTCCCCCAAATTAATGTAGTCATTTCACATGTTTGACATAGAGCCTCAAAGAAAAGATGCTAGCTCTCATTAAAATCAAAAGCTTTTTTTTTTTTTCTTTCTTTTTTTTAGAGCGTAACTCTGCCATTAGGTCACACCTTTATAGAATCCCAGTCTCAAAGTAAATTACTTCTATTCTTGTTATTAATCAGTATCTCTTTCTTTTTATATGTCAAAAACATAGCACATCAATACCATCATGGGTTTAATAGAGTCATGCATCCACTGGCCTATTGATGGTGGTGGGGATGCATTGATAAAAAAAAGGATATAGACTTACCTACCTCCATGTTTGTTTTTATCATGTTGGCATACACAAAAACTATTACATAACCTTGAGTAATAACAAAACCTGTCTTTTTGTTGCCTCATGTGTAAACAAGTAGGTAGGATTTATATTTGCTGAAGCCATTAAATGCCAGTTGAATCTTTCTCACTGTCCTGATTGTTATTTTGAGTGTTTAATCTTAAGCACCTCATATTAACTCTCAGTCACTCTACATTAAACACACAACCAGCTTGTTCTTGATTTCAAACACTAGCAAATACTGAAAGATTCTGTTTATCTAGAAGCAACTGTTCAAAATAAGATATTTTAAAACTTGCAGTGTTTCAACAGTAATTGGTTAATGTTCAAGCCTCTGTGTCTTAAATCAATCTTTTACACATGTGTATTAGTCCACCAATATTGGACATCTTAAATAATCCGTTTTGGAAAGAATAATGAAGAATTTTATTTTGTTCACATGAAATTTAGAATCTTTCAGAAACTTAATATCAATACAGTGTTGTTGTAAAAAAAAAAAAAAAAAAAAAAAAAAAGTCTGGAAGTTTTGGCCTCCCATTTTGTAATGATGTTAGATATCATAAAAATGGTCAACAAAAATGCCCAAGAATTTCAGCTAGTTTTACAGTTCTATTAAGCATAAAAAAACAAACAAAGCTTGTTGGATTTCAGGGTAAGAGTAAGCCATGCCATAATTACCATATTTGCGGTTTATAGATAATATGGGTACCTCCACAAAAAACAATGATACAAATGAATTTTTAAAAATGAAAAATCTTGAATCTTTTATTTTAGTTTTAATTTCAAACTAATAGGTTACATTTAGAGTCTGTCTATATTTTTGAGATGAGGTATTTTGTACATTATTTGGACTATTTTCCTCATCTTTGTCGCCATATTTATCAACGTTTCGACCGTTGTACGCTCCAGCCTTCTTCAGGTGGTTGGAATTTCAAACTGAACCCTTTATTTCGTTCTAGTTCCACGTGCCATGTTTGATGGATGTCAGTTCTCCACTGCCTTAACCGGGTATCGAACTCACACTCTTTGGGTCCTGTCACTGGATCTAACCAACGCCTTTATCCACTGTGCCATATGTACTCAAGATGAGGACAATAGTCCGAATAATGTAAATTACATTTAATATTTTCAATAAGCAAAATACTCTCACTGTATTTCAAAACTAATTTAATTTGGCTGGAAGAATTTTTTTTTTTTTTTCTAAAATAGCTGATTAGAATCCATTTTTTTTTTTTTTGTCAGCTCTCATCTCAATGTAATTCTCTTTATTAAAAAAAAATCTTCCAAAAATGTTTCTGAAACTTTGATTTAAAGTACAATTAATCTGATTTGAAACAAATACTGCAGAAACACATTTTTTAGCCTGACAGTAAATGTGTTTTTAACCTGACAATAGCTGTGTTGACAGCTTGATGACAGGTTTAATGTTGATCTATTGAGATCTGTAAAATGTAATTTAAGAATATGATGGGAGTGCTGCCTTTATATAATTTTTAAGTACTTGGTAATCTTTAAATTTAGATAACATTTTCCAAAATTTTAAAGTCAACATTCCTAAAATTAGAATTTATTTTACGAATGCTGTCTTTAAATTTACTATAGTCATTGCTCTTATTTTCTGATAATGTTGTCCATAGTTTCAAAATGGGCACATACATGTTAAAAAAAAAAAAATTAAATTCTTTTAAAAATATTGGTGTTTGATGATTTGTATTAAGCTTTTCCATTTATGATTAGTAAATATAGTTTTCACTTAACATTTTAGGTGATATTATGTAAAATGTGGAAATTAATACAGAATTTTAACACTTAAAAACTTTATA